TGTGGGCTGTGAGGGTAATAAATATATCAAATATATCGGGAGCCGCAAGGCTCATGAAGTCTCCATCCCATCCATATAACTGGTAAGGAGTGCACAAGAAGTGGACACCGAGGAGTACGTTTCAAGCTCAGGACCTTGCAGCCTCTTTGCAAATGCTCTAATACAAAATATTTGAATGAATTTTCCCTGTTTGTCAGGCCCAGAATTCACATTGTATATAACATCTGGGCTAGGACAATATATTCCGGCCTTGATTCTCCTCTGAAAACTTCTTCCTATTTAAGATCAGAGGATATTTAATGCCTGCCACCTGTGCAGCTAGACAGATAGGAGTCTGTGCAGTGGATGCTTTTATAAAACATACCTATCTTTTCCAGGCTATAAAAGGAAAAAAAAATAATATTGCCCCAAAGGTTCATTATTATAGCTGCAGGAGACAGGAACTCTAAGCATCTCTCCTGCAAATGTGAAACTTATTGCTAAGACAGACACATTACAAGCCCACTATCAATCACATTTGGCAATTATTAGTACTTTGTGAGTATTTTGAACTCAAGTATGTGACAGTATCATCTATCCTGGAGCAGATAAATCCGCGCACACTTGCATACAAGGCTAAAATGCAGGGAACTTCAGCTCAGGAGAGTTTTTACCTAAGCAGCAATGCTTATGTGCTCAGCACCATGCATGTGACATCTATAACCAGAAAAACGGCCCAATATTAGCACTGGAAAGGTGAGTTCCAGGTATTTAAGCGGATTTTTATAGTACTGCCTCACGTCCCTGCTATAATGCAGCTCTATACAGAGCTATGCTATAATTACAGACTCCAAACAGAATTTATTCCATAACTTTTTTTTTTCCTGAGCATAAATGTGCTCCTAATGGAGACAACTTTCCTGCTGGGTAATAGTGGCTGTACTAGCACAGGCCGCCAGGGAAACAGGATTCCTACAGGGTAACAGTGGCAGCGCTGGTACAGGCCAACAGGGAATCTTTTCAACACATTATTGAAATGAAAAGTGTGTAATTACGAGAAATATCATTCTGTCAGACAGTGGTCACAAATCTTAATTAGCCCTTGCTCCTGAAAGACTGGTGGTGAAAACGAACCGAGGGAATTGAATAAAATTTGTTCAAAGTGACAAAATGACATGGAATTATGTACCTGACGAATGCAACAGGGAGACGCCTGGAGTAGGTGTGTCGGGATACACCGTGCCCAGCTACAGCCGCTGATACAGGTGTATCAGTGTTGCCAGCTAAAGAGTCCAGAAACCTGAAGTCTAGGAGGGTTGAATAAGGATTGGTGAATGCTTCCCAATTTTGCAATGTCTTGTGGATCCTACCTGTAATGTAACATCTGGAAACAATCTACCGACCTGCAAGATGTTCCAGAACTAACAATTAATGTGAGCTCTGCATAAATGCACACGCCTTGCAAGAGGTTTAATGAAGATTAAACAGGCAGCTCTCTGATGGAACAAAACAGTACTCTATTGTTAGAGACCTGCTATGCAGATGTATTATATTCAACAATTCTCATTCTGTGCTTAAAAAAAGCCCACAACATGTCATTAATCTCCAGGGAGTTATTTCTGATTTACATGAATGTAAATGAAACAAAAAATAACCTCTTCTCAAGGACATGGCTGAGCAGCTGAGCAGTCTCTCGGATGAGTTTGGTTTTAGGTTGTTAGGGCCTCCCTAAGAATCATGAGCCACCTTTAACAGAGTGAGTTAGTGCCCTAAAAAGCAGTGCCTAAAGTCTATACTATACCCTGTTCTAAGGATAGATGTATTCGTGCTATATGTATATATATATATATATATGCATATATACAGAATATTTGTGACTTCCATTCCACAGTGATCACAAAGCTAACAATGCTAGGGACTTAAGTATGTCTGTCACACCTCAAAAAAAGAGGAAAAAAAGAAAAGAACAAATTCTTTATCCTAGGACCCAAGTTATCCTAGAGTCTGGGACAGGAGGAGACGCCAATCCAACACGTTCCATGGAGATCCATAACCATGGAAAGACATCACTCTGGGGCAGTTGCCTTGCACAAAGCGGATAAGGGGTCCACAAAACCTGGAAGAAGGCAGCTACCAGGCTACTCCTCTTCGGAGTTATGTTCTCCTCCATAAGACCCGAGCAGAGGCTGGAAGTTTTGCCAGTCTCCCAAACTTCTGCGATTGTTTTGCAATCCTGCAGGTGTGCGCTCAATGCTTGGCAGGCCTACAAAGCATTTCTAGCCGTTCCCAGCCCTGTACACCTTTCCCATCACGGAGATCAAAATCCGACCCTTGCCAAATCCAAAGAGGAAGGAGAACAGAGACAGCAAAGCCGTTCCAAGGCGCGGAGGAGAGCAGGAGCTGTATATCAATTGCTAAGCAACAGCACCAATATCCCTCCTGTTACATACGACAAAAAGATTTCAACAAAAGGCATCAAAATAAAAACCTTCAAAGTCTAAAAATAAGGAAGCAAGAGGTCGATTACCTCCTGCTCTTTCTCACTAGTCCTCAGTTGTCCCTGCAGAAGAACTTGATTTAGACCGGCCCAGAATTTTCAGCAGCGAGAACCGACGACCTCCCTTTGCTTCTCTGCCCGCTTTCAGATCCTTCAGAGGCACAAACCTTGCTCTGCCTTTGTTGCTCACCTTTGCAGTAAAATACAGAAAGGTCCTTTCATCCCGCAGGTGATTCTCTCTTTTTCTTTTACAATCCTCCCTTTATCACCTGCGGGCACCAACGCAATGATTTGTGTTCCCTGGACGCTGCTTAGGAAGCTCTGCTTCTCCTTCAGTCCTGTTAGGTCCATTTCATATTCAGAGCCTTACAGCATTAACCAGAGAAAATTTGCAGACATTCAGGATTAATCTGCACATATAAATCTTCTTAAGGACCCTAAATTATTGATAACCCAAGTACAACTTCTGTTTTCTGAGAATTCCTGCTCTCTCCCACACAAAAGCATCAGACCGCCAACGTTTGCCTTTAATCAGGGCGATAACTAGTGAGGCAGGTGGTTTCTATCACCATGCTTTAATAACATAATATAATCCGCAGCATTTTCTGGAGTAAAGCAGCTTTTCTCCAGATGATCTCTGGAAATGCACTGTGAGGCTGGACCTTGGTTTTCCTCTGTTTGCTAGGAAGAGGCGTAAACAAGGGAAAGGACCCGAGGAAAACCCCAGAAGAGCTGGTGGAGAGATGTGGGTGGCTCTTTTGGGTGGGAAGAGACGTGAGGGAGCAGGTTCTGGGGTAAGGGAAAGGGGGCAGAAGAGGGATGCCTACATTGGCTTGTACACTTGTCCTAGTCACACACACACACACACACACACAGGCGCACACCCTACAAGCCTCCCTAGGGCTGGCTGGTCGTGCACACACGTGGTGGCCCCGCACAGGTGCTGCACACACACAAACACACACACACACACTTGCTCACGTGCTCTCGCACAGCCGCTCACACCCCCGGCGCACCGTCACACCGTCACTGACCCGGCGCACACACCCGCTCCCCACCGGACCGGTGTCCCGCGCGCCTGCCGAGGCGCAGGGCCCGCGCTGTCACACACACTCGCTCCCCACAACACGCACACCCTGTCGCACACCCACACGCGACGGGGCGCTCACACTCGCCAACACGCGCACAGCCACACGCAGGCTCTCGCTTCACACAGGCGCTCGCATTCCCTGCCACACACCTCACACACATCGTACAGGCGCACACACACACTCATTTTCTCCCTCACGCACACTCATGTACAACCTCGCACACACATCATACAGGTACACACACAAGCTCTCCCTCACACCCGTCTCTCTTTACACACACACATACAGGCGTACACACACACACACGCTCAATTTCTCCCTCACACATCTCTCACACACCCACTCACACATCTCTCTCACACACACATCATACAGGCTCACACACACACACACAATCTCTCCCTCACACCCACATCCCTCTCTCTCACACACACTCTCCCTCACATTCCTTCCTTCCTTCCTTCCTTCCTTCCTTCCTTCCTTCCTTCCTTCCTTCCTTCCTTCCTTCCTTCCTTCCTTCCTTCCTTCCTTCCTTCCTTC